AGGACTTTTCCCCGAACAGGAGCAGCATAGTTTTTCCGGAAAAACACTAACAATTTTACAGTAGATCGTCATTGCTTTTCCGGAAAAGCAAGTGGCCAGTGTAGACAGCTGGCAGGTTATTCCGGAAAAGCGGCTGCTTTTCCGGGATAAGTGGCCCAGTGTAGACACAGCCTGAGAGATCCTCCAGTCTGTTAGATCTTCTTTGTGCTCTTCTGATAGACAGAGCAACTGAAGGGTTTTCATTCAGGTGTTCGGGGGGGATGCGGTCCTCCCATGACATAGAGCCACTGACTTGGCACGGCTGGAGAAAAGAAGGGTGTGGCTGGGGTGGCCTTTTGCCACAAAGATCTGAGGCTGCCAGGACAGCCGCGTGCGAAGGCAGCAAAAAACAGAGTAGCCTGGAACGGCTGCTCATTACGTCAGGGAATGGCCCAGCACTTCCATGACGTCAGGATGGGGGATAGGGAGGGAGAATGGGACCCAAATGTTGCGATGCTGCTCAACCACAGGCCAGGATCTGGAGCACAATGTGCACGGGTGAAAGGGAGCAACAGTGCGAGATGACAGCAGCACTGCACCACCCAGAACAGTGGTGATGGCTTTCGTTTTACAGAAGGATTCTCTCTCATGTGACCCCTTCTGAGCCCTCCTAAGCCAATTCTCTTTCAGTACCTTGCCACGGCAGTGGCTCTTCATAAGGGTATTGTCCACAAGAGCTTTCACGCTTAAGGGGTTTGGTTTTATTCTTGGGGGAGGGGGGACATAGCCTTGTGTAAAACACAGCACAAAAAGAACCTGCCTTGTGATGAGAATTTTGTAAATGTCCCCTCCTGCAGTGACCGAAGGGCACTGAGTCACACTCACCAAGCAAGTTCCCCCTTGTCCGGTAGGACAGCTGACAGCCCCACGAGGCGTTGTTTTCAGAAAGCAAAAGAACCGGGCGCTCTGCTAGGAACTCTTATGTAATCTTAACAAGGCAGCCAGTGCCTGCTGGAATCAGGAAGTTCCCTTCAGATCTCTCTTTACGAACTGGTTGGGTTTTTGGAGGAAGCAGGGAAAGCCCAGGCATTGCAAAATCAATGAGTAGTCCTGTGGCACCTTAGAGACTAACAAAAATAGAGAGACTCAGCAGCTTTCGTGGGCACAACCCACGTCATCACGGAACCTTCATTTCTGGCACCGTCATGTCTTCTCCGTTCAAGAGCGTTGGCTTCAAATGTGGCTCTCTTCCTGCAGTGGTTTCCCACTCGCTGCTTGATCTCCCTTTGTGTTTGAGGGAAGCCGCTTTGGGTATGTCTACACTAGCCCCCTAGTTCGAACTAGGGTGGCTAATGTAGGCATTCGAACTTGCAAATGAAGCCCGGGATTTAAATATCCCAGGTTTCATTTGCATGTTCCCGGGCAGGCGCCATTTTTAAATCCCCGTAGTTCAGCCGGGGATTTAAATATCCCAGGCTTCATTTGCATGTTCCCGGGCAGGCGCCATTTTTAAATCCCCGTAGTTCAGCCGGGGATTTAAATATCCCAGGCTTCATTTGCATGTTCCCGGGCAGGCGCCATTTTTAAATCCCCGTAGTTCAGCCGGGGATTTAAATATCCCAGGCTTCATTTGCATGTTCCCGGGCAGGCGCCATTTTTAAATCCCCGTAGTTCAGCCGGGGATTTAAATATCCCAGGCTTCATTTGCATGTTCCCGGGCGGGCGCCATTTTTAAATCCCCTTAGTTCGAACTGATTGCCCATGGTTACACGCGGCAGTCGGAAGTTAATCCGAACTAAGTCCTTAGTTTGAATTAACTGTTACTCCTCCTGCAATGAGGTGTAACAGTTAATCCGAATTAAGGACTTAGTTCGGATTAACTTCCGACTGCCGCGTGTAACCATGGGCAATCAGTTCGAACTAAGGGGATTTAAAAATGGCTCCCGCCCGGGAACATACAAATAAAGCCAGGGATATTTAAATCCCGGGCTTCATTTGCAAGTTCGAATGCCTACATTAGCCACCCTTTTTCGAACTAGGGGGCTAGTGTAGACATACCCTTTGGGAGACTCCGTGGAGCCAGTAGTAAACAGGCCATTCAGGAAACACCATTATGAGCCATGCTGTGCCATTGATTCCTGCATGTGACTGCTATCATATTGTGCTTCCATACCAAATCGTACTATGCATCCACCAAGTCCTGTATACTGTCTGGTTGCCCGATGTTCATTTTTTTACCAGAAAGTCTGATGAAAAAGGGGACTTACCGCTACCCAGTAGGGATGTGAGTAATTGTGTAAACATGTAACAGCTGAAAAACTCCGCAGTTCCACGGTTACATGCACCTGGCCCCCCGGGAGCTGGTGCATTCTGCTCCCAGAGCTGGTACATGCTGCTAACACAGAGGCAGCAGTGCACAGAGACAGACAGCTCCCCAGGAGTGAGGTGGGAGCCTACACGTAACTGTGTACGTTACCCAATAAGCCCGTGCTTATTGGTTAACCATTTACACGTTTATACTCTCACATCCTTATTATCCAGTCAGATCCATTGACCCGACACCCAAAGTCTGGTCGCTGGAGGCGGGAAGGCGTCAGGTCATCACCTGCCCCAGCCCCTAATGAGTGTGACTGCAGCTCTCAGCCCCCACTCCACATGCAAATCCCTCCAGACCTGGAATGGAGGAAGAGGGATGAAGGGGGTCAGGGCCTTAGGGGGAAAAGGCAGAGTAGGGCTTTGCAGGAGGAAGTGGGGCAGAAGCAGGACTTGGCGGGGGAGGTTCCATCACTCCTGTGGGAAGTGTATGGTTAAAGCATGATAATGTTGGTAGCCCTATATGCAACAGCCAGCGTTTGTTGCTTCAGGGAAAGGAGGAAATAGCTCACGCCCCCAAACATAACCTCCTCTGTGTTTACTGGTATTTGGACTGTCTCCATGACAGTGGTTGTTGAGTGCATGCCAGCTAATGAGAGAGGCCCTGACCCTGCAGACATGGATGTGCATGCTTCACTTTACACACTTGAGTAATCAGAGGCCTGTAATGAGATTGGGGGAGTGCTCAGATTCACTAATGACAAGCCTAGGGTGTTTGTAGGATCGGGTCTGTTTGGGTTTGCTTTCCAATGTGCAATTGCTTTGCAATTATCATCTCTAAATCTCACCTGCCATTTTGTTTCTTGGTCACCCAGTTTAGTGAGCTCTCTTTATAACTCTGTGCAGGCAGCTTTAGATGTAACTATCCTTGAGTAATTTTATCACTGGCAAACTTTCCCACTTCACTGTTCACTAGGGATGGAAGCGGCTCGTTGACTACCTGATAAGCGAATACTTATCGGGTAGTCGAGTAGGAACTCGACTAGTTACTCCCCCCCCCAACAAGGGGGGGAGCATGACCCAGTGCTGGGGGGAGCTGGCTTAAAAGCCACCTCCCCCCCAGCACCGTCTTCGCAGGGGGCAGCGGGAAATAGCACGAGCGGGGATTGAAACAGTCCAGCTCATGCCAGTCCCACTGCTGCTCCTCTCTCTTTGGAATGTACGAGAGCCTCCTGCGGCACAGAAGGGAACCCACACCAGTGGGGACTGATATGCTCCCTGCTGCCACAGGTTCCCTCTAGCTCTCGCCCTTTGAATTATACAAGAGCTGCAGGCGGCTCGTGTACATTTCAAAGGGAGAGGCGCAGTGGGAGAGCGAGCACCCCCCTTATCGATTCCCTCGACTACTCGATTAGCTGATTAATCGAAATTTAACATCCCCGCTGTTCATCCCTTTTTCCTGATCCTTTATGTACAGGTTGAACAGCACAGTTCCCGGGACAGACCCGGGGGGGAACCCTGATATTTACCTCCCTCCTTTGTGAACACTGACCATTTATTCCCACCCCTTGTTTCCTGTCTTATATCCCGTTATTGATCCATGAGAGCATCTTCCCAATTATCCTGGACTCCGTAGGCTTAAAGCACAGTTGCGGCAGCGCATTAAACTGAAAGTGTAGCCACAGCACGAGCACTAGGAGAGAGATCTCTCAGCGTTCCAGGTAAACCGCCACCAGGAAGGGAGTCGCTAATGCCATAGCCTTGTGCACACTGGCGCTTAATTACAGCGCTGTAACTTGCTGCGCTTGGGGAACGGAGGGAGAGGGTGTCACACCCCGAGCCAGCAGGTTTACAATGCTGTAAAGTGCCCGCGCAGACTTAACCTTAGTTTGCTGAAGAGCCTTTGGCGAGGGACCTTGTTAAAAGCTTTCCACAAGTCCAAGTCCATGTCTCTCCAAGCCTGTCCGACTGGGTCTTATAACAACCGTAGCCACATGCTGTGTTTCAAGGCAGGTCCTAGAAAGAAGGGACCTCGAGAGGTCATCAAGTCCAGTCCCCTGCCCTCATGGCAGGACCAAATACTGTCTAGACCATCCCTTATAGACATTTATCTAACCTACTCTTAAATATCTCCAGAGATGGAGATTCCACAACCTCCCTGGGCAATTTATTCCAGTGTTTGACTGCCCTGACAGTTAGGAACTTTTTCCTAATGTCCAACCTAAACCTCCCTTGCTGCAGTTTAAGCCCATTGCTTCTTGTTCTAAGAGTCAGGGTTGGGAGATGAAGAGGGGATCTGGGACTCTGTATGTGTGTGCGTATAGTGGGAGGGCAGGACAGCTAACACCCTCTCCCCTGCTGAGATTTGTACCAGGGCTGTTTGCTCTTCCCCCTCCTGTCCCTATCTGGGAGCGAGAGCAAAGTGCCCAGCTTCTGTGTCCCCTGCGCTCCCCAGTCCGACTGCGCTTTTCCTTCGCTCCCTGAGGAAGGGGAACAGCCAGCACAGTCCTGTCTGTGGAGTGTTGCCCTGTTACTTCAGCCTGGGTTTTGGCTTGCTAGGCTGTGTAGTGCCCCACTTGCGCACGGGGCTTTGCGTAAGCCAAGAGCTTCCTATTGGCTGTGCCCCGCACGCCCTGTGGGACTGTGGGATTCACATTCCCTGGCTTCCTTCCGGCTTGACTCCCATTTGTCTCCTCTCTGCAGGGCGAGAGCTTGGCCGTACCCATCTGCGGGCTCCCCTCCTCTGTGGGGAGTGGGATGACTGCCATCCTGGAGCGCCTCAGCACCTTGTCCATCAGCGGGCAGCAGCTCCGGCGCCTCCCCAAACTCCTGGAGGAAGGCTTCCCCAAGATGCCCTGCACTGTAGGTCCCCCGGCGCTTCCGAGAGCCATACATCCAGACGGGGTACCGCCCCACAGGCCAGGACTGGCGCTATTACTTCCTCAGCCTGTTCCAGAAGCACAACGAGGTGGTCAACGTCTGGAGCCACCTGCTGGCGGCCTTGGCAGTGTTGCTGCGGTTCAAGGCCTTTGCGGAAGCGGAGGCGCTCTCCTTGGACGTCTCTTCCTTGCCGTTGTTCATCTTCGTGCTGTCCTCAGTCACCTACCTCACCTGCAGCCTCTTGGCCCACCTGCTGCAATCCAAGTCAGAACTGTCTCACTACACCTTCTACTTCGTGGACTATGTCGGGGTCAGCGCCTACCAGTACGGCAGCGCCTTGGCCCATTTCTACTACAGCGCGGACCAAGCCTGGTACGACAAGTTCTGGCTCTTCTTCCTCCCCGCCGCTGCCTTCTGTGGCTGGCTTTCTTTTGCTGGCTGCTGCTACGCCAAGTACTGGTACCGGCGCCCTTATCCCCTCATGAGGAAGGTATGTCAGGTGGTCCCAGCAGGGCTGGCGTTCGTCTTGGACATCAGCCCCGTGGCACACCGGGTGGTCATGTGCCACTTAGGGGGCTGTGAGGAGCAAGCTGCTTGGTACCATACCTTCCAGATCCTGTTCTTTCTAATCAGTGCTTATTTCTTCTCCTGCCCCGTACCCGAGAAGTATTTCCCAGGCGCCTGTGATATCATCGGCCATGCCCATCAGATATTCCACATGTTCTTGGCCCTTTGCACGCTCTCGCAGCTGGAGGCCATCTTCCTGGATTACAAGATCAGGCGGGACATTTTCCTGAGTAGACACGGTCCCCTCTCCATCTACCTGTCCTGTGCCTCTTTCTTTGGCTTGGTGGCCTGTAGTGCCATCACTGCTCGCTACCTGCAGTGCAGGATCAAAGCAGCGCTGGCTAAAAAAGAGTCCTGAGAGATCCTTGCGAAGACTAACGAGACACTGACTGGCTGCTACTGATTCGGTGGAAACCAGCAGAGGATAATTTATAGAGACATAACAGATTGGTTTGTTTGCATAACAGTTTGTCTAACTTATAACTGAGGGATGGGTCACAGGCTGGAGTCGCTCTGTGAGAGCCCTTCTGTCTAAAGCAGGGGTGGGCAATAATTTTTGCAGGCATGTAATGAATTTTGGTACTGGTTACGAGCTGGCTCGCACCTCTTCCCTCACCCCAGAAGGGGTGGGACCTGGAGCAGAAGGAGCGGGGCTGGGGACGAGCCTTTCCCCAGAGTCGTCTGGGGCCAGAGGCTATGAAGCCAAAACACAGCAAAGGGCTCACGGCCACACCGCTGCCACGTTGCATGGCAGCTGCCCAGGGTTGCTGCGGCTATTTAAAGAGCTGGTGGCTCTGGTCCCTGCCAGGGTAGCGCTGTGACCAGGAGCCATTTAAATAGGATCCTGCTTCTGGAGCCACCACCTAAAAATTCAGTGGCACGGCCAGCAGGATATAAATAGAAAGTGGCCAGATCCAGTCTGCCGGACAGATCAAAGTATTAGGTGGGCTGCATATAGCGCCTGTGCTGCATTTTGCCCAGCCCTGGTCTAATGCATTTTTACTTGAGTGGCCATCTCTTGCAATGCAGGGGTGTTTTTTTAAGCCAGATCGGGGCACTTCACCAAGGATGCTTGATTGCTTGGATTAGGCCGAGGTTTCTAGTTTTATGCTAGTAAATCTGCAGGGAATAATACATTAAATATCAGGGAAACCTTCCTAAGGGTCATTAAACTGTAAAGCAGTCTCCCAGGGGAAGTAGTGGAAACACCGTGGCTAGAGCTATCTCAGAGTTTACAAAGCACAGTAGACTGTGTAGCATGGATGAATCCTGCATTGGCAGGGGGAATGGACAAGATGACCTACTAGATCTTCTTCCATCTCTGATCTACATGAGTTTGGTCCTGCTTCCATTAAAGTCAATGGCAACGTTTCAGTAGGAACAGGACTGGGCCATGTAAATCTAAATTTTCGAGGAGTAGTTGCAGAAGTCTGGGAGGCACAGTGGTATCTAGCGTACAGCTGCACACGTCTTATATATTTGCAGGTAAGAGTCGCGGTGACTAGTGTTCCCTGGAAGCTGTGCGCTTGTGAGGCCCCACAAATAGCACCCAGCTGATTAGCAGAGCGCCCACAGTGAGCTTTTTTGTTTCTATTGGTGGTGCACATTCACACATGCCTTGGTGCACATAAAATGTATTCCACACGTAGATGGGAAAAATATCCACACATGGATGAAAAAGATTAGAGAGCACATTGCTCGTGACCCATGTTCTCTCAACTTTGCCCTCCTGAAATAAATCGGACTAGTTTCTTAGGGTGACTTTGCCAAATCTTGGTTATATAGATGGATCAGGACCACAGCTCAAGATCCATCTACCCCAAAACTTGGGGGATGTTCCAAACCAGATCAGAATTTCCTGTCTCAGACCCATCTCTGCTTCACTGTTTGACTTTGACCCAGGTTTTCCTCCAGAAAACACCTGGCACAGCGGTGACATGAGTGAAATTACCTTTTCTGCCACTGGAAGACGTCACCGTGGGTGTGGATAAAAATACAGTACTAGAGCTGCTCATGGAAATTTAAAACAGTGAGGCGGACTGTCTCGGGGGCTGGTAATGGGATATGGAGCCTTTCCCTAGTAGATCGGTTGTTGCAATCCAGCCTGGACCAGTGGCGATGCAGGTGACTGGTTGGGTGATTGCATCAAATGAGTTTGTGCTCATAGCTCAGTCAGTGCTGGAGCAAAAGAGAACAAAGTGTAGTGACAGTCCCCATCCAGTCCTACCTTCAGTGTAGCGACAGTCCCCTTCCAGCTTCAGTTAGGTAGGGCATTTTGGGGAAGCTTGTTCTTTCTACACCCAGGGTTGAACGTATGAGGGTAAACAGAGGTCTTCAAGGTTGAGAGTCTGCCACCTTTCATCAACGCTCAGTAAAGTTAGAAATTAAAACATTGTCATTGGGGAAAAAACAAGGGGAGGAGTGTACACTCCTTTTCCCTTTGACTATCCGCCTGATGTCCCTGAAAGTCTGTTGTACTCAGAGCAAAATTATTTTTCCATTTGCACTGCAAATTTCTCTTGAATATTCTACTCCAAGAGATGCCGGTGGAGTGGATATACCAAAATAAACAATCCTACCCTGGCAGAGGAATGGGCTAGATTTGGGAGTTTCCTACTCTGGGTCGTGGCTTGTAAGGGTAAGCTGCTAGCTGTGCACAAGACACTTTGTTTACCTGCACCTCCACAGGAACGGGCCATTGGCTGTGGATCGCCATTCCTGGCCAATGGGAGCTGTGGTGTCCCGGTCTGCATAGCTTCCTGCAGTCCCATTGGGTGGGAGTTTGAAAACCCCGGGACTAAATGGTGTAATAGGCCTTTGCCCTGTGCTATGGGTGCGACTGTGTACAGATCTAAGGCGGCGTTTAACCCTGGCGCTGTAGTATGGAAACGGGGGTAGGAAACAGTTAAATGTTTCCTGCCGATGGTTATGGGCCATTCCTTTCTACCATCCCTAATGAATTACACAGGTTTGGGTGGTTTAGAACTAATTCACCAACTGGATAAGTCCCTTCTTTGTCTCCTTGAGTGGGAAGGTTGGAGGCTGTGAGCCAGCTCTCCAGCTGGTGTGAACTGGAATAGCTGCACTGAAATTGATGCCCCTTACATCAGCTGTCTAGGAGGCTCTGGCTCTGTGCAGTCCTCACAGACCTAATTTATAAAATACAGGACTATGTAGCACTTTAGGGTGTGTCTAGACTACAGGGTTTTGTCGACAGAAGTTTTGTCAACAGATACTGTCGACAAAGCTTCTGTCGACAAAGAGCGTCTAGACTACATCCAGTTCTGTCAACAAAGCAAGCCGCTTTGTCGACATGAGAGTGTAGACGCAAAGGACAGTGTAGGTGCAATAATGCCTTCTGTCAACAGAACCCTGTCGACAAAAGGTGTTATTCCTCGTAGAATGAGGTTTACCGCCATCGACAAAACTGCTGCGTTCTGTTGATGTTATGTCGACAGAACTCAGCGGCAGTGTAGACACAGGTATAGTTTTGTCGACAAAAGTCCACTTTTGTCGACAAAACCCTGTAGTCTAGACACACCCCTCAAGACTAACAAGATGGTTTGTTAGATGGACATCGTACCCAAAGTTTTCATCTAATAAACCATCTTGTTAGTCTTTAAAGTGCTACATAGTCCTGTATTTTGTTTCAGCTACACCAAACTAACACGGCTACATTTCTATCACCTAATTTATAAGACTTCTTCTCTTGTCCCTTCTGCCCTCTCCCCGTGTTAAACCTCAGTTCCCTTGTGGTAGATTATACCACTGCACTCCCCATGTGTCCTGTGCGATACCTTCATGCCCAGATGGTCAGCAATCAGGTCAGATCTTCACCTAACGTCAGCAGCGCTATGCTGATTTACTCCAGTAGAGAATCAGGCCCATGAAATCCAAGAAAATCTGGATTACCTGAGTGTATTTGAAACTGACCTTGGAGGTGGGGCTTAGAGCCTCCGTCACTACAATCCTGAGCTTTAGTATTTGCAGGATTTTTGAACTCTCTTTTGGGTGTGTTATCATTCTCAGAAAGGCTCCGTTTTGTTTTGATGTTGGAAAACCCTTTCCCCAGGGGAGGGTCAGGTAGGGAGGGAAAAGATTCTCTGGTGTAGGGGAGCAGTGGACAATGGCAGCTTTGAAAATCGAGCCACTTATTTAGGTGCCTTTTTGTGGATAAGGAGCCTACATATGGGCACCTTAATCTGAAACTACTGGCCTTACTGATGAGTTAAATACATTTATGGGAGCAGCAGGGGGTTGGCTCAAGGGATCACTAATAGGATGCAGAGGCTGTAAACTTTTCATTCTTCATTCAAATTTAGCCTAAGTTGGTAGTGGTGATAAGCAGTGTTCCCTGTCAGCTGTGCACTTGGACAGCCACCCAAGAGAGATTTCGGTGCCGCCTAGCTGATTAGCAGAGCGTCCACAGCCAGCTGTGTGTGTTTCCACATGCTCCGATGCACATAACAAAATGTATCCAGCACATGGGTGGAGAAAATGAGAGGGAACATTGGTGGTAAGATGTTTGTGTGAGACAGCTGCTCAGCAGCCTTTGTAAAATTACTTGTTTGGTCTCTGGTCAGTTTTGGGGGAAGAATCCATCAGAGCCGATTTTCTTCTTATGCCTGGTCTACACGCTTCAGTTGAACCACTGTAACTGTAAGGGGTTAAAGCAGTACAAAGCTCTCTAGTGTGGATACAATTAGAGTGGTATGAATGTGTTTCTCGATATCATGGTGAATAATAAAGTATTCTGTATAAGGCATCTTTGTTCAAAATAACTGCATCCACACTAGAAGTTGTACAAGTATAGTGTAAAAAAAAATCACACCCCTATCCTAATTTTTCTGATATGCTGCCACAAAATCTTTGTGTGGCCCAAGCCTTCACTGCCCCAAAGGGTTTAAAGTGGCCTCCACGCTATGTCCCAACAGAGGAGGCAACATAAAACCATGCCATCTCAACACAAGTGTTTGCAAATCACAGAGGATGAGAATGTGCATCACTCATGGTAATGAAAGGACCCAACCCAATGCTTTCTGTGACACTTTATCGCCACCTTCTGGTGTCACAAAGCAGCTTATTTTTTCCTTTCCTCCTGTTCTCCTCCCCCCCCCCCCCCCCCCCCAACATTCCCACGTTAACTCAGTCTGAGTATTTATTCCCGTTCTCCTCTGCAAATCAGATCGGTAACTGACCCCCTTGGGGAATGATGAGGCTGATGTTGCAGGGGTCTACTGACCAACGCTGCTTTTCAGATAACGTCCTGAGGACACTGGGTGCTCCATCAACACTGGAATTAAACCAACCCTGGAATTAAACCATTGTCTGTTCTCAGGCCAGATGATGAACCCCCACCCCTTCCCAAGTTGTCTTGCCCTTGTGCCTTACACATCTGGTTGGAGACTTTTCTTGTAGACCTTGTATGTGTGCACTCCTAGGAACCAGCAGGTCGCTGACAGTACTACTCTAATCCCAGTGAAGTCATTGAGAGTTTGCTTTGACTCACTGAGGATTGGTCCTAGGAGGATGTAAATGCCTTCCCATTTGGCTACCAGCTCATTACTCCTTCCACAGCTCCCACACTCCCGTTTGCAACTGGTCTTCCTCCCACTCCTAGAATCCTTTGTGCCAGTTCTGCCCCCCAGTCTGGTCAGAGGCTCAGAACTGATGCAAGCCACCCAGCTTGCAAGGCATCTGATGCCATCCTGGTCCCAAGATGCTATGTGTATCACCCTCAACAGGGTGGCCATGGGAACAGGGTTACAAAGCTCTTGGGAGCGTGCCCCTCAGATGGAGACGTCATTGGAACCATGCTGAGTAACACCAGTTGGGGATCTGGCCCAGCATGTCCAGCTCCTCACTCTTCGAATTGGCAGGTTAGAAGCAGCAACTTTGCCACCAGCAGCCTCATGATTACATCACACTTAGTGGTTGATTGTTACCACGAGACTTGGCATCGAGGGGGAATGCGAAGGGGATCGGTTAGCCATGAATTTCCTTGGAGTACTTCATGTGACAGAACGGAGATGTGTGCTTAAGGCTACTCATGTGCCTTGGTATTTATGAAACTCGTACTGACTGGGTTTTAAAAGCATTGCTTTCTACCAAACATAAGTAGTGAGTTTTGCATTTCCTCTTGGGGAGTGGGGGTTGAATATTATGCACCAGCCATCCCCCTGGGCTCCCCTAACTTTGTAGAGACCACTGAAAATTTTATACTGTATTGATAGTTGTTCAAAATTCTTAGTAATAAAAATCTATAGATCAAAGGCAATGGGTACAACGTGAAATCTACAGATCCACAAATAAGAGGGGGAATGGGATGGTTATAAATTGTTCAACCAAAAGTTTTGGCATTAAAGACCCGGAATTGTTATTATTAATAATAATAATAATAATAATAATTAATAATAATATAATATTCTTTGCTTGTCTTTCATCTCAAAGCAGTTTACAAGCCTCACCACAGGTAGGTATTACCTTCTTTGTACAGAAGAAGCACAAAGTGGTTCACTTGTGATTAGCTGGAGAGACTGTGACTGCACCTAAACTCTGAATACAGAGCCTGATTCAGCAAAGTGCTTAAGTGTGCTTAAAGTTAAGCACAGGACAGTCGTCCTCTTGACAGTCAATGGGACTACTCACATGCTTAAAGTTTAACATACGCTTAAGAATTTTGCCGAGTTGAGGCCAGAACTCCTGGCCATTGTTCCTCCTTGTTCTCATAGCCAGCTGGCCATCTACCACTACACACTATTTTCCAGAGAGCTTGTAAACTCAGGAGCAAAGCTTGAGTCCTACAGGTTAATCTGGGATAGGAATGTTTCCTCCTCCTACAACCAAGGTTTTTTTCCCCCCATCCTTCATATATTACAACTTGTAGGTCAGTGTGTGCTCCCTGGCTACTGGGCTGTGTTTGTATTTCCTTCCACCAGATGGCACGGTTTTCTCATCCACTGCACCAGAAAGTATGCTTCTTGCCATAAATGCTGTGTCTTCATAACTAACTTCTAAAAGAACTAAGAAAAGAAAAAAGATTGACTTTGAATAGGCATGAAGCCAGTGCAGTGTGGCTACTTTTTATTCATTGAACGTATTTCTGTGCAAGGCATTCCTTTCTTTAAAGTGTTATCACTCATGGAAATTACAAAGGCAACCTTTAAAATGTGTGGGTTAGGCTTTCAAAGTGTAAATGTTTGTAAAATATAAAATTGGGGATGGAAAATCTACAAAAAAGAGTAGGGATTTTTTTTAAACCAATTATAGGGATTTTGGGGATGCGGGGAGGATATCATTTTTTAATTTATACATCCTAAGGATATTAGAAAGAGGTGCACAAAAACCTGAAACTGACACTAAATAGAAAGTGAACTTAACTGACCAGGTCAAACTGAGTGAAGTACAAAGAGTAAAACTGTATGGGGAGGGGGAAATTACAGTGAAGTTTAAAGTTTTTTCTTTTTTTAAAGTAACTACTTGCACTGCTAATAGCGGTAGGGAAGATTTTGTTGAATGCGTAACTTTTCCCCCTGGGGCACCCAGATACTATGGTAGTGAGTGTCTGATAGGACTCAAAAATATTATCTGGTCTTATTCCTGAAGCTTATTATTAACATGCATTAAATAGGCCAAAGGCTGGGAAATGGGTTTAAATTATGCAGGCTTCATTTGATGTTTTACACAACTAACTACCAACCATTAAAGGAAGGAGAAAAATCTCATTTCCTGTGTCACAGCTGGAGTAATGTTCATTGCTGCCTGGAGCTCCCACTGACCACAGCTGTGGATGTTCATTGCCTCTGAAATCAGGCCATAAGCATTGTGAACCTGAAACTTATGGCCCCAAACCCTTCCTCGTGGTCTTATACAGTGCAGCCAGCTCCAGTGTCTAATACCTCACAGTTGTTCACTGTGTTCTAGAGGAGAAGAGAAACTTTCCATCACTCCAACAGAAAATCCCCCTAGACATAAATAAGAAAGTATAAAAGTCACCCTTTCCAAGTACCTTGCTATCATACCTGGGTTTGCAGGGACTTGCTCACAGGAGGGGAAACAAGGCAGAGACAGAAGGGCCCACCCTGCCTTCAGGTGGGTGGGCAAAGACAGAGGCGGGGGTTAAACCCTGGTGCCCTAGCCTCGCTTCCTAACTGCAGCACCTGGTGGAGTAGGGTGAGCTCCAGTGCGCCCGGACCTGCTTCCTGGTGAAGCGGGACAAGTGCTGGGGCATGAGGAGGACCCTGGAAAGG